CCTTCTAGCTTAAGCGGAACTGTACAGCTTAAAAATGTATTTAAGTATATCCAGAAATGTACACTGACACGCAACGAAATTTGTGCCGTAGGTTCGCTACGTACAGTTCATCCTGTAACTAGCTTAATTACTTACTGCCGTTGATTGGATACGACTAGATCTCCTTGCAACAACACATCCATATCACGAAAAATTAACTATTCCGGTTAGATTTCGATCTGAACTTTGTCAGCATTCTGACAGAAGAATTGCATTATTTTATTTTATTTTTCAAAAAAGTCTTGAGCATTGGGGTGCGTTTCCTTAGTAGACAGCTTGTCGCTTGCTCCGACGCCACAGTGCTGCGAAGCCCAACAGATGACAGAAGACGTAGATACCCGCCAGCCCCGCTAGATCCAGCCCCAGGTCGTTGGGCTTGTAGCCGTACTTCTCCAGGACACCCTGTCCCGTTGAAATGCAGGGGATGCCGGGGTCCTCGTCACAAGCTGTTTAGAGAAACGTACAGAAGTATAGTGTGTTTATGCCGAAGTAAACGTTTGTAAACTGAAAGAACGCCTAACACAACACATTGCATACTGACCTATCGAATCTATTTTCTCCCACTGGAGGATAGACACTGCCTCGTTACCGTAATAGAATACAGATATGAACGGAATCCACTTGAGATGAGCGGGCAAGTTCCTGAATTCGTCAAACATATTATGAATAAACATGTATGCTTGTGTGATGATGTGATCAAAGTACTGAGTGATTCAGAGAAGACGCAGGTGCGCGCGGCTTTGCCTACCCAAGGGGCTATGGCGCCTTACGGTCAGAGTGGGTAGGCAAACCCACCCGCACCTGCGTCTTCTATGAATCATCCGGTACTGTGCTCTCCTCCATCCAACAATCGTTTCCGACCACCTCTTACCCAAGCTGGAGGTACAGCCCACTGAAGGTGACAGAGATGAACTCGTACGGCACGGAGACCATGGCGGCCGTCTCTATCGACTCGAAGGACGCTGACATCAGGCAACCTGGAAGATGGACGGAGAAATAAACTGGCTGCATTCTTCAGTGCGCTTAGCCGGTGTAAGGCAGAAGATGAAAAGTCTCGGGGAAGTACTTACCATAGGCTGTGGCCGCTATGGCGCATGCCCAAACTGGCACAAGCAGAAGGCAGAAATCAGCGATTCCGCCCGTCAGTCCACCCACGAGGAACACCACAAGGGTGTAGAGGAACGGCTCCACGACCGCTCGCGGCAGCTGCAATCACCAATCCAGTGTCACCATGATGGACTGACCAGAGTTTTTGTCTTGCGTGATACGCGAGGTTGTGCGAGGTAATATTTCGAGAAATATCATGAAATCCTTGACCAGCTGTCTGTCGTCTTACCAGGATAAGCATCTTGGAGGCGTAATAGGGCCCCGCGGAGTAAAGGCCGTTGCCAATCTCCCGGAGCAGGACTGGCATCTCGTGGGGGAACGTGTGGAACACGCTGTACGAGTAGGCGAAGATGATCTCGGTGACGATCAGGTAGAGAAAGCCTTGCATGTTCTGGATACCCTTCTGGTCCATTGTGATACTGACGTACGGCGTGGAGATGAGTACGGCGATGAACTGGAACACAATACTGGGCGTTAGAGTGAAGCCTGCGTGCCCTCCGACCTGCATCGCTTGGTTCCATCTACAGGCAGTACAACGCCTGAATGCGGTACAGAATTATACTATACAAAACCAAGGGAATGGAACACAACGGTAATTAATTTTCCGATAAAGGATAAAATTCACTCCCTACTAAAATTATCACCATTAGTGTAATTCGGATCATTCGGAAAGGTCGTTTGTCTTTTGCCGTTACTAAACTGCTAAGTTAAGCCAAATGCAAGCTCTCATAGCGCCTGATAGGTATGCAATATCTTTCCTACAATGCACTTGTGCACTGCGGGGTGGCCTACCCCGAGCCTCGCAGGCGCCGAGCTCCCGTAATTTACCGAATGAAACTAGACTTCAATAAAACCATTTAAAAAACTGAAACTACCGAATGAATCTGAGAAAAACGGAGGCACTTTCTGGATTGCAAATTTCTTCATAAAGGGGCTCTAAAGGAAGTCCAATAAGGGCGTCTCACCATAAGCATTCCCAACCGGATCAGGACATCTGTTGGCTGTCTTCGTATTTCGATGAGGGACCGCCAGACTAGCCAGTAAAACTGAGTGAACTTCGTGGGCTTCTTACTGGAAGAGAAAGGCGAAAGGAAATATTTACTCATCATATCACTTCCAAAACACGAACTTGCATCACACTGGTGATTTTCGCACTTACATGTTGAGGTACTTTTGGAACTCCTCGCTGCTCTGCCAGCTGTCGTGGCTGGCCACGGACCAGGTCCGGCGGCCCACCTTGCCCAGGCCCAGGGCGCTGCTGCTGGAGGAGGCGCTGCTCGTCTCGCAGGCCTGGAGGAAGCGGCCCGTGTGCGCGGCGAGCTCGTCCGACAGCGCCTGGCCGTACTTGGAGTTGTCGAACTCGTCGCATAGCCACTGGATCTTCTTGAGGCACTGGCCCTCTTGGCCCGGCACCACAGCCAGCTGCGACACGAGAAACTCGGCCTGGTTGAAGGTGCTCGGGCACACGAGCCCGAGGTTGTCGAAGTGCCGGGACGCGTCCTGGACCTCGCCGAAGAAGGCGACGCGGCCGCCGGCCAGCAGCAGGACCTGGTGGAACAGGTCGAAGATGCCGGAGGCTGGCTGGTGGATGGTGCAGATGACGGCCTTGCCGCGCTGCGCGAACAGGCGCAGGTGCTCGACGACCGCGCCGGCGCTGTAGCTGTCCAGCCCCGTGGTGGGCTCGTCGCAGAACAGGATGGGGGGGTCGGTTAGCAGCTGCACGGCCAGCGACACGCGCCGGCGCTCGCCGCCCGAGAGGCGCCGCAGCTGCGTGTGGCAGCACTTGGACAGCCCCAGGTCCATGAGCAGCGACAGGATGCGGCGGTGGCGCTGGCTGCTGCGCACCCGCCGGTCCATCTTGAGGCGCGCCATGAACTCGAGGTGCTCGCGTACGGTGAGGCACTCCACGGCCAGGTCCTGCTGCGGCACGAAGCCCGACACCTGGCACATGAAGTGCTGGTCGACGACGTGGCCGTTGACGAGGATCTCGCCCCGGGTGATGCCCTTGACGCGCTGGCTCACCGTGGCCAGCATCGTGGTCTTCCCGGCGCCGCTGTAAAAGTGACGAAGGCCACCAGTAAAGTCTCCGAGTGACAAGTGTCTTGCGAGTAGACAATGTCGGCATGAGGTCACACAGGAGGAAAAGCTCACCTGGCACCCATGATCGCCATCAGTGATCCGGACTTTGCAACGCCGCATACTGGAAACAAAAGTCGTCTTTTCAGTCACCAATTTTCAATAATTAGGCACTACTTACGTCATTCCCTCCCTCATTCATATTCGCAACTGAAAAATATAATTGTTTCATTAATTAAAACCTACCGCTATTCAGGATTTGCTTGTGCTCGTGCTTCTCGCGGCTGAAGAAGCCGGCGCCCTCCTTGGGCTTGCGCACCCACACCGACAGGTCGTTCCAGGCGAGCGTCATGGAGCCGACCGCGCCTTCCTGGAACTGCTCCAGGGCCACGGCCGTCGGGGTGGACGGCGTCCTGGAGCCCGGGGAGCCGCTGCCGGAGCCGCCGGAGCCGTGGCCGGAGCCGCTGCCGGAGCCGCCGGGGCGGGCAGACGCGCCGGGGCTCTCCATCGCACCTGCGGACAGAGAAGACGGTGACGGTGACCTCGGAGCCTTCGCCTGCGACATCGTGTGGACCAATAATCTGTCTGTAATATTTGTATTGATTGGATCGGCGCCCTTGGTCGTGAAGATCAAGTTAGGGCTCGAGGCTCAAGGTGAGGAGGAGGCGGGCTGCGGAGGAGGGAGCTGCGAGGCGGGCGGACGTGTGACGGGGTTCAATTAAGACATCATCGGATCCTCGGCACGACTGACTGGCCTGAGTGCGTCGGGCACCTTCTCTGGGAGTGCGAGAGAGACGTCTCCAACGCCCATCCATCCCTCTCATTGCACTCCCAGCCAGTATTGTGATGAGATGGTATTTATCACCGTCATCAGTCTCTTAACTTCAGCAACGATTGTGACGAGAAGTCCGATTCTACAACGTTAGCCAATTTATCTCTCCAGTTTTGTTTTTATTTTAAACATCAGCAAGGACATTCTTCACGAATAGTGGCAAGGTAAGTCCTTTGGTGCCAGCAGTGTCCACCGGCCCCGCGGCGCCGAGGGGGAGGACATTCGATCGGTGTGATTATCGACGGGGTATGGCGGGGCGGAGCGCGGAGCGGCGCGGGTCAGCGGCAGCCGTAGGGAGATCTTATATCTGTGAGAGCAGAGCGGCATACTCCGTGGACTAGCCGTCCGCACAGTAAGTACGAGAGAACGCTCCCAAGGCGTCTAGATGAGTGGCAAGAGCTCGGGGCATTCCCCTCGTTGGCAAAGTTGTATTACAAATCAATTTGTTTTCATATCCCAGAGACTCATCCGATTTCAAAGCAGTTTTCAGAAACAAATGCTGCACGCAAACCTCCTGACAAGTTAATAAAAGAAAGAGATTTGTTATCATACGTCTCACCTAATCTTAAACAAAATAGGTCGACACTCTCCTTGCGGCTGCAGATGGCATTTCTCTATCTCCCCCCCTCCCCCCCCCTCTCTCTCTCTCTCTCTCTCTCTCGCTCTCTCTCTCTCTTCCTCTCGCACGCTCTCTCTCTCCCTCTCGCACGCTCTCTCTCTCTTTTTCACGCGATATCGCAAACGCTGGTGCTCGTAACCCGATCGCGGTGCACGCACAAGTTTCATGCGGGCGACGTTTTATTTTCGTTTTTACGAGTCGCTGCCTCCAGCGTGCCACCTCCTCTCGCCCAGCCACGCCCTGCCGCAGGATCCCGACCACAAATTGAACCATCAGCTCATTCCCCGTGGACACCCTCGACCCGACCGCACCACGGTGTGCACACCGCTCGGCGCGAGGCTCGGCGCCCCCGCCAAAGGCAGCCAAAGGGTGACCGGCTATCGTAAAAATGAAAAGGGAATGATCGCGCCGGCCGCCGGGGCCGGGGCTACCCCGCTGACATGAATGGTACTGGGGCGACCACGTCGCGTGGCCATTCACAAAACAAGGGCGCAGGGGCGCAGCCTTCTGGTGGTCATGCGGCAGAAAAAGATGCATTTTCTTTTAGAGAGTCCGATTACAATAATGTGTCGTGTGGTAAGTAAGACAAGTTCGTTAGCTCGGCGTGCGGGTGGTTGGCTGCCGTTGTCCGTTGGCTGCCCATTCGCTCCGGGTTATAAGACAAAATCGCACGCAATCCTGCAGCGGGGCCAACGGGAGCCAATCCCAGCTACTGTTTGTTTGTTTGTTTGTTTGTTTGTTTGTTTGTTTGTTTGTTTGTTTGTTTGTTTGTTTGTTTGTTGTTGTTTTTTTTGTTTTTTTGTTTGTTTGTTTGTTTGTTCGTTTGTTGTTGTTCGTTCGTTCGTTCGTCTATCCCAACTGGTAGGACCGCTTGTCCTCTGACAAGCAGCCCTGCTCAGCTGCTCACGCACGGCGTGGAACATTCCGTCCCAGAGTGGCAGGCTCTGCTCGGCCTTCTGATCGGCTCTGCTCTGATCCTCCTACGGTCCTTCCCTACCGCAGTGATGCCGCCTACCGGGACGTCTGAGTCGGCCACTCACAAAACCTAGACTTGAGAGGGAGGAGCTGTCTCCAACATTAAGAAAATAGACGAATAAAGAGGACCCAACGTGTCGCCAAAAACCGTTCGAAACCAGGCGGAATAGCGCCGTCTCTTTTGCTGGCCAGCTGGGCCGCCCCGCCGCGCTCCACCCCGCTGCAGCGTGCGGCGCACGGCACATGTCACTTGCAGTGCTTCTCTAGCTTCCCGGGGAAAGGTGTGGGGAGCTGCAGTGGGGGTCAGCAGGCCGGGCTGAGCCCTTCGGCCGCCCCGCCCCGCGCCGCCCAGCCCGCCCATATACCGCAACCCACGCACCCCTCTTAAAAATCTAACGAACTTTAATCGAGAATCTCCAAGAAGAGGCAAAAGAACGGAGGATGGTAGAGCGTGACATGCACTGTAACGATATGAGTAGGAGGGCCCATGAGAGTGCTTCCACGGCGCCTCGACCAAACCAAACTTGTGGGTATACGGGAATGGGACGTGGCCGCGCTGCCCCACTTAAAAAATTAATAAAAAAAGAATGGTATTTGCTCTGAAATGTAGCAAACACGCATATTTTTAATAGGTGTAAAGTAGTCCCGCGGCAGGCCTTGCCCTCCCTCCCTCTCTACTCCTTATATAACGATACAAAATGATTCGTGGCTCTGGCACGCTTTGGCTTTACATAACGCTGGAACGAAGAGCATTGGTGTTCGTCTCTGGTTGGTCGTGTGTGCCTGTGTGTTTGTGAGTGAGTGTGTGTGGGGGGAGGGAGGGGGGAGGGAGCTGGAGCTGACGGCAGTGGCCTCCAGGTCGGAATGGAGATGAGGGAGGGGAGGGTGGTGGAGGGGGCAACGTCAGCGTGACCCTTACCTTGGCAATGGGTATAAAGTAAAAGCCTTCAGAGGGGGGGAAGATTCGGTGTGGGGGCTACTCGACCCACGCCTAGGTCCAAGCCAGCATAGGTACCAGTAAAAGAACGCCTTTCCCGAACGGCGCGCTATGCGCACCATTCATCAGTCCCAACAGGAACAACATCCTTATTTTGGAGAACGGTGACCAGTAACCAGAGCCTTAGGCTGAACTCCACTATACTCACTTTGGAAAGAACTTGATTTTGAACTGATCAATTAATTAACCATCCTGCATACCAAAGCAGCACGCAATTTGCGCGCGCAAAGAAAATCAACGGCAGCGTCTACCGTCATCAATTTACCGATGACCGAAAAAAAGTTACAAAAAGTGAGGGAGAGAGAGATCGAAAAATAATGTATTATCCGCTCAACGGAAGGGAACCGCTGAGGCGAAGGGAGCAGAACACGAAACAGGTTCTCTCCGTGATATGCAGCGTTGGCAGGCGACAGAATTCCAGTTGTCTGCCGACGACGGTGCTGGCGCTGGGGCCCCCCTCATGCTTTTAATGTTTTGCGATGAGGAGGAGGAGGAGGATGGGGAGGAGGAGTGCGGAAGGGAGAACGCCGCGCTCACGCCTCGAGGTCTTTTGTCCTTGTCTGTCTTACGCGGCCCTGTAGGCGATTCTTACTTGTATTTCGTTTCTTTTTTCGAACGCGCTTGCAGAGCAGCGGCGACCGGCCCGGACCCGGGCAGATAAATAAGCCGGATGGATCACATCGATTACACGGCGCTGGGCTGGTCCGGTCGGGCCGGAGGAACGAGAACTCGAACGAGAACTCGAACGAGAATGAGACCGCCGGCCTCAACGAGCAGGGGCCGGGCCGGGCGGGGCCGGGCCGGGCCGCCACCTGGGAGGACGTCCCATCCCCATCTCTGTACACAGGGCTTCCCCTTCGGCAGCTAGCCGGCCACGCCACGCCGTCAGGTGCCGGAGTATGCAGAGGCGGGCACAAGTTGCCCGGACGCTTCTGCCTGCGGGCGCGGACAGTCCCACACATCTATTTTCGTCGACTTGGGCGCACGTGCGTGCGGGTTGCGTACTAGTTCGGGCCGTGAGCCTACGGCTATAGGCGCCACAAGGGAACCCCCCCGAAAAAAAGGTGATTCATCAGGTGAACTATTTTGCCAGACGGCGGCCTGCACAGTCGGAAGTGAACGAGGGGTTTCAGCCACCAGAGGTTTTACAGCGGATTAGTTTACATAGGGGAGCAGGCTTAAGAGTAACATTTTGGTATGTCAGCGGCATGGGATGTGACGCCGGTCCAGCGACATGCTAAGCCGGCCTAACGACATGCGTCGGTGGCACAACCACGGCCAGTCTTAAGGTTAGCAACAAAGTGTCTTTGGACCAACAACCCGGCTACAAAAGCAAGACGTCATCGGAATGGTTTTTGTTTTTGTTTTTACAATGTCGTAAGACAGAAGTCGCATGTTCAAAGATGATAAGATCCTGCCAGCAGAACCGGAGCAGGTTGTAGAGGCCGAGTCGAGGACAGAGGAAATGTTTGACAAAAAGGTTAAAATTAATGCGACAATCAAATGTAGCGCTGCTCGCAGCAGCCAAATATCGTGGCGAGGAACGGGTCGGGCGCTGCTGCCGGACGGTGAGGTTAGCCACCTGGGGCCCCCACCCTAGTTATATAAGCTAGGATGGCTGAGCTGGGAATGGGTCGGGGTGGGGGGAAGAGGGGACGACTGGAGAGAGAGAGGTTGTCTGGAAGGTTTTGACCGGGGGCGGGCAGGGCAGCACCAAACGTGAAAAAATGTACTTTTATTAGCTGCACATAAGCGCTTGCCACCTCTGCATGATAAACGCCACCCGATCGCCACACATTATAGTGATTAATGCCGAGCATTAACGCGTGCTCGGCGGCCTGCAATCATCTCGGCCGGCTGTTTGCCTAAGGAAAGCCGGCGCTGGATGCTGCACGGCTGCGTAAGGGGCCATCCAGCAAGTACACACGACCGTCATTCGCCGATACGAAACTGGCAAGTTCATCCCACGCAAAGCTCTCGGAGCGCCTGATCGGTAGGCAACATCTTACCAGCTGCGCATGCGTGCACCACGTGGTGGCCTATCTCGAGTCGCGCAGGCGCCGGGGTCAAGTGATTTGCCGAATAAAAAC